TTGTCTGTTGCACGCTGCCCGCAGCTATCAGCTAATCAATTCACTGCTCATATCGATTTTTTATCGCTTTGCCACTGCACGGGTGCAACATTTTGAAAATCTCTGATGTGGCTAACCCGCCATCAGTTATAAGCTGTTAACTGTTAATGTGCTGAAATGTATTGAACCTAGTCGAATTATCAATTTCAATGCACACTACAAATTCGAATCCTGAATATGTCCAATTTATTTCTCCAAATTGTATCTCCTCGTGGAATAGCATTAATTATACTGCTTCTGGCTACAAATTACTTAGCCATATAATACCAATTAAGTAGTGATTTAGCAAAAAACCACTAAAATAATTATTTATAATAATATGGCTTGGCAAAGTGCTTCACTGTGGTTAAGAAGTGAGAAAGCTCGAAACAAGATGATGCTCAGCACACAAATCGGAGAACCACTAAGCTTATGAATTCCTGCAGCTGACGAACTAAGGTCAAAAATCACCATCAGTCTGACTAGGAGATGATGCAGCTTCGGCCGAAGCAACCAGAAAGATTTTTGGCTGCACAGCTGAGAAACATGCTCTGAACTAGCAGCTGAAAAGTGTCTCAAATTTACGGCACGTGCCGATCCTATCGACCAGCGGGATAATTAATAAGGTTTTTTGAAAATTATATGTTCAAAAGGATTATGAAAATTTGCAGTCTAAGTCTACTAGTTCTCGCCCAAAATACGTGTAAATAAAGCCCAGAAGGAATGCTACAGAAGATAGTTTAGCGAACACCGCACACCTTCAAAATCTTTTAACGGCAATCACTTTCAAAAAACCAGGCAAGTAACGCAACTATACATGTGACAGCACAGTTAACAGTTAAATATAACACGATAAAAGACTTGCGAACGAGCAGGCCCAACAATTTTGGCAATGTTCCGAAAACCCCAATGGGTTATTAGGGCCTCTAAAACGCGTAAGAATTTACCATCAACTGCAAAACATTTTGACAACAACAGCTGCAACAACGAATGACAATGATAAACATTCAGGAAACGGACAAATATAAAATATAAGCCCCTAAAGAGCCCGCAAAATAAAAAGTTTCACATCCAAACTGATCGCACCAGACTAGCCGGTGCGATCATGCGTTTTGTGCAATTCAGCCCATCGAACGATTGCCTATT